AAGGATCTAATGATAAATTACCTAATGATAGAATTCTTTTTCGATTTAAACTATACATATACCCGACCCTACAACGTTAATCCTACTTGAATTAGAAAAGTGTTGTTCACAATTACAATTTTTTTATACCAATGCACGTAATAAAAGAAAGATACCTACTAAAAGAAGACTTTAGTACTACGTTATAGAAAACATTTATAACATTTTAAACAATGTTGAAATTCTTACTATTCTTTAAAGCCTTAATATGTATTTAGTACATATAAAGCTACAACTAATTAAGTTAGTATCTTTTACCTAAATATTAGGAGTTACTACATATTTCAAACAAAATGAGTTAATTTTTAAAATATTAAATAATAAGAAAATAATTAATTGATAATTTTTTAAAATATAAAATCTAATTTTAAAGTGTTAAAATAATAGGGGAAAGTTTAGATGAATATTTTTATTTTACATGATAATAAAGTGGCGAGATTGTGCTCTTTAATTTATATATTTTTACTTCGGTATGAGTAATTAATTCTTTTACAAATTTCTCAAAGAAAATCGATTGATGTTAGTCTAGATTAGGTTTCCTAAAACAAGTTTGTCCAAGTCTCCTATATATCGAAATTTAACAAATTTTTTCTTTGAATGGTTTATTTTCATTAGATGCTCATGTGCCATAACTTGGTAAAAAATACGTATATTTCTCCTAAAAAGTATGTAAAGTATGTATACTATATATAATACATATATATACGAAAAAAGATTATCTGCTATTATTTTTGTAACAGTTAAAACTATATATATTTCTCTAAATTCTTAACTAATCATGGACTTGATCTATCAAAACACGTGTATGATCAATATTTTATTATAAAAATACGAATGTCCTACGTTAAATATTAAACGACAAAAATATTCTTAAAATGTTGATAGACTTTTATACCCTTTAAATTTTAATCTTGTTTGGAAAAAACAATTCATAGTAGGTAAAATTATTAAATTTCTACTTATAATAGAACTCTAAAGTCAACGGAGATTTTAGAAAATCACCGCCATTATAAGCGGGAATCATACCTTATTTGTAATGCATTCTAATTTAGTTACCACTTACAACTCTATTTCCTTTTTATGAGAAAAACCAATTGTTTATTGTCGGACAAATCATAAACAAGTTATTAAGGAATTATTTGTAAGTGACTTGCCGTCTTGCATATTTTATTTATTTGACTTTGAGAATTCTCATCAATTGTTCAATATATTTTATTTGTGAATTGTGGTTGCATCCAGGATGTTGTTATGTTGCTTTGCAATACAACAGTTGAGTTCTTGCTTATTTTGTAAATTTCTTTTATGTGCTTTATATTTGAATATCTTGATATATTAGAGAATTTATGAAGAGAATTAGGGTTTGTAAGAGTAACTTTATTCTTCTTTTAAATTGTTTTTGAGATAAATAGATAAAGTTTTGCTTCTTGTTTTCTATAGTAGATAAATTTTCTGCTTTATATGATTACGGAGATCGTACCTGCTAATTTAAGAGTTGTATCTATATCACATGCATAATTCCTTGTTTATATAATAAAAGGTAACGTTGATCATATGTTTAGGTATGAATGCAAACATGGTAGTAGGAATATATGTATTTGAATTTGATCTCAAATCCATATTCATCAAACGTCAAATATGAAAATAAGAAAGAAAGGTTAGAAAATTTGGCTGTCGCTTACAAAAACGGTTTATTTTCAGTTTTCTCTTAGTAATCTAAGACATGAAATATAATAAAGCTAGAGTCATGAGACAGAATTATAATTGAACTTAATCATACAATTGTTTGACTACAATTGTGTGTGTGTGAAAGAATCCTAATACCAATCAATAGCTTTTCCAAATTTGAATGCGGGCTTCACGTTAAATATTGGATAGTAGAATCTTTGTGCAAATGTGATCTTTTAAATTGAGTTTCTTGTTCGAAAATTAGAATTAATCAATTAAGTTTAGAGTTGTCTAGCTACAATGAGGGAATTCTAAAACCAAGGCCTTCCCAATTTCAAGTATGAATGCACGTGCACAAGCAATAACTTTTTTTCACATGAGAGGTCACAATTAATTTTCTAATATCTGGAAGTTTTAGAATTAATCTGTTACAAAAACTACTTACATTTTATTTAAGTATAATTTCACATATCTCCCTCCAAGTTTAGCTTTTAACACTATTCCATCAATTTACAATACAAAGTTTTGCTCCCTTGTTTTGATCTCTTAGCTTAATAGTTATTTTAAACTATTTTTCATTACTGCAACATGATATAACCACCATTAATATTTGAACTCTAATATGATTTGGTTAAAGAGACTTACCATATTTATTTCTAAGACTAAAGTCTTTCTGAGAAAAGCTCAAAACGCAAATATTCATTCACATGTATGTACGAGACTGAGAAAAAAAAGGCAACTACTCAATATATAAAATTTACTAACATACGTGTGTACATTCACTCTAAACATGTATGTACAAAGACTAAGAAAAAAAAAATGAAAGTATTCAATATATAACATTTGCCAACATACATATATTTTCTGCAGAAGACAAAAGGAAAATATGATGAAGAAAAAAGAATTACTTGATAATCGAATTTAAACTGTAAAGTTCTATTGTCTTTCTAAAACCGTTGCTTAATTGACTTATTTTTCTTTTTGGTTTCCCACCCGGTATCCGGTACCTGCATTGGAGCCCGACTATATCCGGGGTGGGAAAATTTCATATTAAAACAAGTGGGCTACCTCCTTTTTAACTTTATAGCCCATATTTCAATTTACAATTGAGTAGCGCAAAAATTAGAGGCCCATATCCTAAAAAAGGGGCGTTATTTCCGTTTTTTGGGAGTCAGAATGCGGGATTTTCTTTCTTTCAGCGGGATTTTCTCTGATTATTTCCATTCTTCTTCCCCAATGTACAAAAACGAGATCTTGCGATCAATGCAGCTCCAAAAATCCTAGAATTTCTTCTTCATCTCGAATCAACAGCAAATCAAACACGAAAAGTGAATTTTTTTTGCTGCAAATCAGCGCAATTTTTATTTTTGCTGCAATTTGATTTCAGTATTTTGTTCGATGGAGCTTTTTCCAGTTTACGTTCTTCATAGTGGTGAATGGGAAGAAAATAAGCTTATCAATTTCGCCAGCGATTGTGTAATAATCGAGTCGACATTCAGCTACAACAATTTAGTTGCAGCTATTTCGGAACAGATTAGGATCGATAGTGAGTTAAACACAATAGAGATTAACTTTCTCCCAAATGATGGTTTGCCACCGATCCTGATTTACAACGATACAAGTGTTAAGATGTATATCGTATTAAAGAAGAAAAGCTTGAATTTCACTGAATATCCCTTGTTTGTGACAGTGAAAGAGATTTATGATAATCGTTTGGTTGCTACAAGTTCCAGTTGTTTTGCTACAAGTTCCAGTTGTTTGGTTGCTACAAGTTCCAATTCTATAGGTGTATCCACAATTGATAGCACTGAGAATATGCCTGATATCGAATTGATTGAAAACACGAAACTTAGTGATAACACGAGTATAATAGATAATATGTTGAACGAATTTGTTGAGGAGGATCAAGTTTATAAAGATAAAGAGACAGTTATGAATGTGATGAAGAACTTGGCTGTACGCGAGAGGTTCCAATTCAAGGTGAAGAGATCAAGCGCAACAAGGTATGTCAATAATTGTATATTTTGTTATATATATGTATAAATATGTATAAAGTAGTATATATTTGTATATAGGTATTAAAATTAGAATATATGTAGTTATGTTTTTGTATACGAGTGTATTTAGAAGTTGAATGATCTTTTATCCTAGGTATCACCTTATGTGTGTGGATGACAATTGTGCTTGGAGTTTCAAATCTTCTGCCGTTTTCAAGGCAAACATATTCAATGTTAGAAGTTACAATAATAATCACATATGCGACTATGGTGAAAGATACTTAACACAACGTCAAGCTACTTCGAGTGTAATTGCTAGTATAGTCAAGGACAAGTATGTTAATCCAGAAAAAGTTTACACCGTAAATGATATAATAGAGGACATACAAAAGCAACACGGGGTTGAAGTGAGCTACCTGAAAGCATGGAGAGCTAAAGAGATAGCAATGGCAATGATAAGAGGGAGTCCGAGTGATTCATATAAGGAGTTGACGAAGTATTTTTATATGTTGGAGCATACAAATCCAGGAACGGTTACAAAGTTGCACACATCAGAAGATGGATGCTTTCTTTATGCATATGTTTCGCTATACGCATCTATCAAGGGTTAGGAGCATTGTAGACCGATAATGGTTGTTGACGGAAGTTTCCTTAAAGCAGCATATAAGGGTACCATATTGACTGCTTGCACACAGGATGGAGCTGGTGAGTTGACTGCAACTACCTTGTTTCTGCAGTTTGTATAATATTGTAGTTTCATGTATAAAAGTGTATAGGATTTCACAGCTGCTGTTTTTATAAAATTTGCAGTTGGTATAAAGTTGTATAATTGTGTATAACTGTGTATAAGATTTGTATAATTGTCTGAATCCTAATATCTATTTTGTATAAACAGGAAAAATCCTTCCACTTGCATATGCAATTGTAGATTCATAGAATAACAAATCTTGGGAGTGGTTCTTTGTCCAGATAAAGGGTAATTTTGGAGTTAGGGAAGGGATGTGTATAGTTTCAGATAGAAATGAAAGCATCTTCAATGCCACAAAAGCTGTGTACCCAGAAGTACCACATTGTATTTGCATGTTTCACTTGTGGCAGAATGTAAAGCGCACATTCAAGAAACATCACAAACAATTGAAGGATATCTTCTTTGCTTTGGCTAGAGCTTATACGATAGAGAAGTTTGAGTACTATATGACAGAGATGTGCAAAATTGATCCGAGGGTGCAGCCTTACTTGTTTGAAATTGGCTACGAAAGGTAGTCTAGGGCATATTCCAAAGTGAAGAGGTCGATGGTAATGACTTCCAATATTGCAGAGTCAATTAATGCAGCAAACAAGGATGCTAGAGAGTTACCAGTAATGCGATTGCTGGAGCACATGACAAATTTGCTACAACAGTGGAACAACAAAAACAGAAAAAGTGTAAAGGAGACATCTACAGAGCTTGGCGAAAAGTACGACAAAATCCTTCGGGAAAATCTGATTGCATCGGAGCAAATGACGGTAAAATGAATCAAATATAATAATGCTTGGCACTGCTGACTTGCATTTTACTGCTTGTATAAGGATGTATAACTCTGTATAATAATGTATAATGTTCTTTAACTTTAAAAAAAAAACTTTTGCAGGTGAGGCCTGCTACGGAGCAGTTATATACTGTGTTTGAAGGGGTAAGGCGAAACATAATATGCCTTGAAGAGGGAACATGCAGTTGCGGAAAATTTCAAATGGATGAACTTCTATGTCCGCATGCTTGGGCGGTTTTGAAGAACCAACAACTGAAACCTGGCCAGTATTGCTCTTCTTACTACAAAAAGAATAAACTCCTTATAACTTATGAATTTTCAGTGAATCCGATGTCAGATGAGAGTTTATGGGTAATCCTAATAGAGGTGTTGGAAGATGTGGTCCTACCACCTAAAGGGAGAAGGAATGCAGGAAGGCCAAGAAAGGAAAGACTCAAACCTGCTTCAGAGAAAGAGTCTAAGAGGGCGTTTTCATGTTCTGTGTGCGGACAAGGTGGTCACAATAGAAAAACATGTAGGAATCGACCAAAATAAATAGTTGGAAACATAACACTTTCTATTACATTTGTTGTCATATTGAGTAGTTAAGTTTCACAAATAATAGAGTTACAAATGTTGAGTACTTAAGTTTCACAAGCAATTGAGATGTTTCATTATACATGTTTTGATTATCCAATAATAGTGTCTTGCTGTTTTTAATGGTACTAAATATATTGATAGATTGTAGAAATACAGAACAGAACTGCGAACAATCAATGGTATTATATGTATACAGATGTATAAATGAGAGTATAAGTTTGTAAAAATTTGTATAACTATGTATATTACTGTACACATATGCCCTGCTACATTAACAAAACTGTAACAATAATAAAAAAACATACTTTGTTAAAGGACAAAAGCAACTGAAATATTCATTAAAATGTAATTCATTCACAGCCACAATGTATAATGACTACCACAAATTACACAAAAATAAAAACATCTATAATATCCTTTAAGGTTATCTCACAAGTAGCAGAAAAGTACTTAGACAAAACTAGGCAACAACTCCTGATACATAGAAAAACTACAGTAAAATAGAAAAACCAGAACTACTTTTTCGGTCGTCCCTTCTTCCTCTTCCTGAAAAGTCTCCCTGTGATTTCATCATCACTAATTGCACCGGACTGTTGTTTTTTCCTTCCATAATCCCACAACAGAGATCCCCACCTGGTGCGAAGTGTCTCAATGTCAAATTATCTTTTCGCATTTCCTATAAGGATGAAATACTCAGCAAAGCCAGCAACAAAAGTACCACAATCACTGTAATTAAAAAGAAACAAATCATATTCAAATAGGTACACTAATAGTAAAATAATAAAACAATTGAGATTAACCTACCATTTGATCTGTTGGGGCACATTATTAACCAGATTAATCTGCAAAGCATCAGAATGGGATTTATCGGTATATGCACCATTGTTCTAATCAATTCCCTTCTTCTCGACATAAAAATCAAAACTCTTCAATAAGTAAGGCATCAGAATTGCATAAGGTAATGCAACATCTAAAGCAAGTCTATCATTAATAGCTCCACGGTTAGAGTCATAGATGTGGATGCACCTATCTATGAACGTAAACAACCCCAAAATCCAATGGCCCAATTTTGCTCTTTCGCGCTTCACATAGATAGGGAATAAGTGTGCCACGGTACATTTACATCACAATAATATCCTCTAATGTACTCTTCTATCTCATGCCCTTCAGGAATTACTGAAGGATCTTGATTCACTTTGAAATATTTATACAGGGAGTTGATTTTGTTACCAAAGGCAAAGTCGGTTGTAGTAAACCGCATGGCAACACTCGGCCCATATTTTTCCCTCTTCCTCAAATAATAAAAGAGGACATCCAAGTGCTGAGACAAGAAATAAAACAGAACAACCATCACTACCAGATTTTTTAAATAGAAATTTATACACTATTATACAGAGGTATACATATTTATACAAGGTTATACAATCATATACAATCTTATATTGTGATTATACAAAGCTATGTATACACTATGGGGGTCTCAAACAATAAAGATATGCAACAAATAAAAAAAGGCATTAGAACAGAAAGTTATTAAATATCGTGTCAATCAAAGGTTGACCACAATACGCAAGTGAGTGGAACCAATCCTTCGTGGTCACATGACACGAGCCAAAAGTAAAAGCTTCCGCAAGCTTATTTACTTCATCGGGATATATATTTTTGGCACTTCAAATCACAAAAAATAAAAAGTAATAAGAACTATATTCATTGACAAGTATAAAATCAGAACATGAAAGATTAAAGAAAGTGAAGATACCTTCGCCTCGTATCCATCCCATTATTAACAAACGCGCAAAACTCTTTAGCCAATGGCGACAATGGATCAAAATCATCAATTTCGATCGTGAAAGGATGCTTTATATAAAAAATGAGCTTGTGCGCCGATCCTGATGCCCCTGAATCAAAAACTAGCAAATATGGAGATTTGGCATATTTTCTTGGTATTTTCTGTCAAACTGACTGCTCAGGAGAAATGTAATCATCTTCTACGTCTATGATGAATGGTTTGTAAAACACAATTTGGGACATCTGTAGTGCAGCTAAATATTCATCGCCAATGTCATCCCAAAATATGTCACCCTTAACATCACCTGCTGCCCCTTAGATAGAGATAAAAAATAATAAAAAACTTTCAAAATGAAGAAGAGCAAATAAAATGTTGAACGAATACCATGATCAACACCATCAGTAACTCCCTCGTCAGCTAGCACGTTATCTTGATTCACTTGATCGACAAAGTCAGGAACAACATCGTATTGATAGCCATCAAATTCGCCGAGACTAGATGTATTGTCATTAGACACGAATTGACGAATTTAATAAAAACAATAGAAAGAGAAGACATGTTGAGTGATGATTCAGAGAAGGCATAACTGTTGAGTGATTTGGTTTTATCAGTAAAAAATTACCTTAGAATCAGTAACAACCTCCCTCGTTTGCTTGGTTTCCTTCATATTCAGAAAACTGAACACTTTTTCAAAGGAAGAAACTACATAATTGTTGAGGGTCGTAACTGTATCAGTCAACTAAAACCAAAAAAAAAAACAAAAGTAAATCAATAACCATGTTTATAACCAAAAAACCATGTATATACAAAAAGTACCGATAAACTACAGAAAAGCTAAAGCTCCAGTACCTTTCCAACAGCACTCCTCAACTTCTCAACTTCAGCATTCAACAGATCAATGCGCATCAAAGGATCATAACTCGGGTTAGGCTGTCGATCCATATTCTGAGGAAAAGGTCGTTTATACTGTTGCTCCGCATTCTGAGGATAAAGTCGTTTAGACTGTTGCTCCATATTCTGAGGACAAGGTGGAGATGCAGCGACAGAATCATCAGTGTAAAAGGCAGGCACCTCCCCTGATGCAGCATCAGTGGCATTAACTTCAAAAAGCGTGTCGATGTTCAGAGTTGACATCTCTTCACGAGTAGGAGAAATGTTCCTATAGTTCAACTACAAGAAGAAAAACTGGATTACAATAGTAGAAAAAGGAAATTGTGACATATTCATAAATATACATACAGAAAACTGAAATCATATATGAAGAAGTATTATGGTTCAAAATGTTTACCTTGTCGATACTACACATGATCACCCCGCCTGTAACGACCCGACCGGTCGTTTTGCATTCTTGAACCACGTTCCCGTAAATAAGACTTCCCGCACTTGCTTTAGCTAATTTATGACTTGCGGGGACGGGTGGTTCGGAATTTAGAAGAGTTTTGAGCAAGAATAAGTCTAGTTGCTTCTTTAAGTTTCTTTAAAAAGGTCAAGTTTGACTTCGGTCAACATTTTGGGGAAACGGACCCGAAATCGTGATTTGACAATTTCTGAGGGTCCGTGGGAAAATATGGGACCTGGGCGTATGCCCGAAATCGAATTCCGAGGTTCCTAACCCGAGTAATGAATTTTTATGTGAAATTGTTAGGTTAAAGTTTCAAAGGTTTAAATAAACTAAGAAATCATTGTTTTCCTAGGTATCGGGTTCGGATTTCGATTCTGAAACATGGTACAAGTCCGAAATATCAGTTAAGACTTACCCGTAAAATTTGGTGTCAATCCGAGTAGTTTAAGAGCGTTTTGACCCGTTGGAGGAGAATTAAGAACTTGAAGTTCAATGATTTGATTCATTTGGTTTTGGGGTTGATTCCTCAATTTAGCGTTGTTTTGAGTGTTTCGAGGGTTCGAGTAGGCCCGCCTCGTGATTTCAGACTTATCGGTATGTTCGGGCGGGGCACGGGAGCCCCGAGCGTNAGCTAGCATGTTATCTTGATTTACTTGATCGACAAAGTCAGGAACAACATCATATTGATAGCCATCAAATTCGCCGAGACCAGATGTATTGTCATCAGAAACGCGCTGACGAATCTAATAAAAAACAATAGAAAGAGAAGGCATGTTGAGTGATGATTCAGAGAAGGCATAAATGTTGAGTGATTTGGTTTTATCAGTAAACAATTACCTTAGAATCAGCAACATCCTCCCTCATTTGCTTGGTTTCGTTTATATTGAGAAAACTGAACACTTTTTCAAAGGAAGAAACTACATAATTGTTGAGTGTCGTCACTGTATCAGTCAACTACAACAAAAAAAAGCTAAAGGTCACTGTTTCAGTCAACATATACAAAAAGTAATGATAAACTACAGAAAAGCTAAAGGTCCAGTACCTTTCCAACAGCACTCCTCAACTTCACAACTTCAGCATTCAACAGATCAATGCGCACCAAAGGATGATAACTCGGGTTAGGCTGTCGATCCATATTCTGAGGAAAAGGTCGTTTAGACTGTTGCTCCGTATTCTGAGGATAAGGTCGTTTAGATTGTTGCTCCATATTCTGAGGACAAGGTGGAGATGCAGTGACAGAATTGTCACGCCCCGAAACCGAGGGACATGACCGGCGCTCGACCGGGTAGCCCCAGTCAAGCGGACCTGGGTGCCTTTCCTATCCCACGTGATACCCCGTGTTTTCATTACTCATTAATCAAAGAAATAGCCATTATAGTTAAAACACCTTTTCACGAAATATACAATAACAACATGGTTACTTAGCGCAGTTTACAACTTACATTGCCCAACATACCAAAATACATGTTACATAAGTTCGTAAGCCACATTTACTGTCTACGGAGCCTCTAAGATATACAGGATAATACAGTACCTGCCGGGAACAAGGATCCAGCTATACCTTACACAAAAACCAAAATAAGACTCCGGAGTAAACAGCGGCATGAGCCACGCAGGGCCCCGAAGGAAAGGGGCTCACCAATACAGCTGACGAAAGATGAAGAGGAGCTACGGTCGGTGGACTGGAGTACCTGCTACTGATCCAGCTACAATCATAACACGAATGTAGCGCCCCCGGCAAAAGGGACGTCCGTACATTTGAATTGTACTGGTATGTTTGAACAAACTTTGCTCTAAGCAAACTCAAACCATGCACAAGTAACA